AGAACTGGCTGTTCTCATCCAGGTGGAGAAGTACTTCTAAAAAAAGTTCCATACGGTTGCTTATCTGGTTTATTGAGTCTCTCCAAAGCTCATTTGTATTTATTCACACGCTTAAAACATACATTGGGCTTTTATAAAATCTTCATTGTTTGCCACAGGACGCCACAACACTGTATTGTATGTCTGTTTTGTGGCACTGTATTGCCATTTTGCCATGATAGCATCAACCATGGACCAACAGAACAACAAATCTGTAAAATATAAATATTGGGCGTGTCATGTTTGCTGAGTGTGTTTAAAGTCTATTAATTTGGTTGTTCTGAAGCACAGAGACTCAGTAAAGCAGAGTTACCGGTAATTCTCAAGTATTCTCACAGTTCCCTGAACTCTGCCTTGGGATGCTGCCTTCCAACTTTATTGGAAGCACGAGGATTCCAAAATTCAAGTTCACTGACCATTCTTTTATTGACTCAAGGGTAGACTCCAATACACTCAGATAACGGGGCACCAGAAGTTAACGGGCCATGGAGAGCCTCCCAGATTCCAACAATCACAGAGTGAGGCTGTACCTACAGTAGTAGCACACCATTCCTCAATAAGCTGCATCCTTTGAGTTATTAAGTTTAATGGTTAGAATTTGATAGATTTCTAAATACAAAAAATGTCCCCCATCACCCCATACAATAATAATAAGTTGGATGCAAAAGTTTGGGCACCCTTGTAAATTTTCAAGATTTTCTTTTATAAATCATTGCTTGCGGTTCATCGCTCATATAGGAGACATACTTTACTAAAATATATGATACAATTATATATGATTTATGGAAAGTGTGCAAGAATTGTTTAAACAAAATTAGACGTGTGCATAAGTTTAGGCACCACAAAAGAATGCATCGTCCTTTTGCAGAAATAACAGGTGTTTTGGGCCATTCTTCTTTCCAAAACATGTCCAGTTCAGTCAGGTTTGGTGCTTCCTGAGCATGGACAGCCCGTGTTAAACCACGCCACAAATGTTCAATTATATTCACTTATTTTCACACATTTTATTTTCAAAGTTTGCCAATTTCAAACTTGATTTGTGATTTCAGCCTCATGACTCAATTAAATAATAGCAAGAACAACACCCAGGAAAACTTTGAATCATTAGCAATACTACACTCACAGAAGATCTCCTTATAATCAAGGAACTAGCTGGAATAGCCGAACACTCCCTGGAGCTGACTGGCTCGTCGTTTACCACTAATTAGACTGTTCTCATGACTCCTAGGCCCTGTTTGCTTTGTTGCTCTTGTAGTATCCCTATTGGGATTCAATTTGTTGTACCTTGTGACTTTTCATTACACACAACAACTTCATGACTCAGGAAGCCTTTATTTCACAATTAATGCTAGCAGTGACTTCAATTGTTCACACAATAAAACATCTTTTTTCCCATGGACCAGACCTGTGCGTTTACATTAGAAGTCAGTAAATCAATAGCACTGTTTTTCTTTATCTGTGAATTCTGCTGTTGGACAAGATAGAAGAGAGACGTAACCTGTCACAAAGGTATCATTCTGTGTCTGTCTCAGCCACACTGCTGGGAAAGGAGGGAACACTGTCGTCTTTGTGTGAGCTGGACAAAACTGGACCTGTGTGTGAGCAGGTTAATGTTCCCTCAGTGGTTTGGAAGCCAAGGACATTTGAAGGACCCTCACTTATGCATACACTCATTCAAAACCACCTTCTGCTCTTACTCTTTGACACCTTGAGACCAAACTCAAACTCTTAGCAAATCTGTAAACAAAATAAGGGTTTACAGGATTACAGATTAGCTTTTCCACAGTGGAGTGATCTCAAATGAAACGCCTCTGTCCCTTATAAAGTCCCTTAAAAATGATTTATTTTCAGTGTCAACTCATGCAGCCCCTCATATTTAATACAAAACCACTGTTTAGACTTACACTGCTCTGTTGACACACATGGGTTCACTACTTGGGAGCTGGTGCCCTATGCAGATTGAATGATTTGGGTATAAGGAGCAATGTAACTGAGTGCCACACTGGAAATTGCTGAGCTCCTGAGAGTGGTCCATTCTTTCTCTAAAGCTGCCTAGCTGCTTGATTTTATAAATATGTAACCATGAAAGTGAATATATGAAGTGTTTTTTTTCAGCAATGTATTATACGTCGCTACCCCAAAACTCACAAATGAACAAATTTCATTCATTTTATGTTTTATATAATAAAACAATTGGTTTAAAATTACCTTATCATTCAAAGGTGCCTCTTTGACTAGTATGACCAGCTTTTTGTTCTGGATGTCCATGTTTCACTTTTTGATTCAATCTACTTTTATAACTCTCTATAAAAGCCACTAAAAGGCTCAACATGTCATGACCCTCCTTGGCACCTCCTAACAGAGCATTCAACTCAACCTCTAGTTCAAGCACTAGTCATATCAAGACTGGATTACTGCAATGCTCTCATCTCTGGACTTCCTTCCTGTGCAGTCAGACCCCTTGAAATGATACAGAAATCTGCAACTCATCTGATCTTCATGGAACCTTGAAAAGCCCATGTCACTCCTCTCTTTATCTCCACTGGCTCCCCATTGCAGCCCATGTCAAGTTCAACACACTGATGCTTGTATAGAGTCACAGAGCCAGCACCATCCTACCTTCACAAACTCCACCATCTCATCCAGATTCCTGCAGATTCAGGAAATGAAAAGCATCTTCTGGTTCCATCTCAAAGTGGCAGAACTTTCTCTTTCACACTTTCTGGCTGGTTCCAATCCGGAAACTAGTGTCTCACAACTTTTAAAAAGCAACTGATACCCTTTCCTTTCCTAGAGACTTACTAACTGTTAGATACTGTTCTCTACCTCCAGAGAGGAGTGAACAATCTCCCAGAATTCACCTCTTTATCGGCATCCAGTGTTCCAGTTTAAAAGGACTCCATTTCCCAGTATTCTTTGTCTAACGTCAATGTCATTTTCCTGTAAACAGACTCTGCTCTCTTTCCCGAGGTGTTTACCTTCCGGTGTTGGTCTCTGCGCTGGCCTCTCTCTCCATCTCATTTTACCTAGATCTCCTTATACTGGAAATCTCCTTCTGGTTTACATGGAACTCCAAATCACTACATAATCACCTGGAATCTAACCTGTGGATTATCGTTACCTTTTCTAGAAGGACCTGTTCATTATATTTATTCTGCTGGTTCTTAAATAAACTATAAAAAGTTTGTACAGAAACGTTACATATAACATAAAAAAAATGTTGTTAGAAACTGCTTGATGTGTTTTTTTCCCAAACTGTAAGGCGCTTTGGATAAATACAGAATTGTAAATGTAGGTGTAAGTAATACCGTGATGCATATGGTCCTGTGGATGTAATACTGAGGTAAACACTGCTTTGAGAAGGTCCACCAGCTGAAACCAGCTTTGAACAGCTTAAACCAGCTACCAAGTTCCCGAACCTGAGCTGGTCATGATTGACTTTCCAACAAGGGCTCGACAATTTTCAACCAATTAATGAAAAATATGAAAAGTAAACTTTGCAGCTCAACTCAACAAGGAAAGAACTCCATGTAACAGAAGTGTGTAGAGACCCTGCTGCATTCAAGAGGGGTGTGGAGGGCTATTAATAAAACACTCGTACAATGGAGACAATTTTCAGCTTCTCAGAACTGCTAAGGAACTGTTGACACATGTGGGTGGCAGGAAGCCTAATGACTTCACATTGAAAAGCCATGCGAAGGGAGCAGGGTCTCAGGGGGATCCCTCTGTTTGTCCGATGACACACTGCATCATTATCTTTTAGTACTAAAAGTGAGAGATGTTTCTGTTTTTCTATTTTCTTTTTTTATTAACAGCCTTTAGTAGAAACAGATCTACAGAGGTGAACAAATGATACTGCCCCTTCTAAGATAATAGACATGACTGGAATAATTAGTTCCCACACCAATAAACGATACAATTGATGCAAAGTTGCTGTACAGTTTCACTTGTAAAAACAACAGCAGTTTAAAGGGTAAACTGAAAGTTTTTATTCAGAAATATAAAAACACGCATGTGAATCTTGGCCTAGTTTGGTAAACAAAGTGCTGGTTCTCATGGCTATTTCTAGTTGCAGAGTTGAAAGGCATTAAAAGGCTCAGGAATGTGCAGAGCTGGCCACAAAACTACACTAGGGCTTTTTGTGCAGCAAAGAAAAAATTCTCGTGCTGGATTAATGTTTTTACAATGCTGTGGCTGAGTGAAAAGGACACAAATGCATTGGATTGTGTGACCCACAGTCTGCTAAACCTTTAATGCCTTGTGTTGTTCAAATTGACGTGAAACCCACAGCTCTCCTATAGCAGCACAACACAACACATTTGCCTGTGATACAACTGTTCAGTCTGTGTTTATCACAGAGCACGTGTTCAAGGACCTTTCCTCTTTTTGTTCGGATGACAGAAATGCCAGACATTGTTACTGATTTACACACAGTCAGAGAAAGTGGAGATACTTTTACCAGACCACAGTACTTTTCCATACTTCCCAGTTCTTTTACATAGAGGAATTCCTTTCTTGTGGGATATAACTTGAAACCGATATCTACCTATCAGCCACAGTCATTCTTTGAGATGATATAGATTTAATAATTTTGTAGAAGGTGAAGGGCTACGATAGATCCACATAGATCTTTTCTAAAAATAGGCCGAAATAGAGCCACATCCAAACAAAACTCAACCAAGGTACTGGATCTTCTGTAATACACCCAAAAAGAGACATCCGCAGGAAGCCAAAAAAAAGGTAAATCCATTTTGTAATGGGGTAGCCTTTTCTATTGTACATTTGCCAATCCATTACTGAAAGAACACAGCTTGCTCCTGGCCCTCTCGACAACTTCAAAGCTCCTTGTTTATCTAAAATGTTAGAATTGTGGTTCTATGGACAACTAATGTCACATTTTCGACCAATATGGTTTCTGTGATTAATTTGGTTTTAAATTTGTCATTGTACCAAGTCCATGAGCTTTCCTGTGGCTCAGTTGGTAGAGCTTTGTGGTAACAACGCAAAGGTTGTGGGTTCAAATCCCAGGGAAAGCAACAACTGACAGAAATATGTTCTTTCAAATGTAAGTCGCTTTGGATAAAAGCATCTGCCAAATGCATAAATGTAAATGTTTTAAGGCGCTCTATTTGATTGAGATCTGGTGACTGTGGAGGGCATTTGAGTACAGTGAACTCATCTGCATTTCCAAGAAACCAGTCTGAGATAATTCAAACTTTTTGACCTGATTTGAGCTTTATGACACAGTGTTGTCACAGAGTGACTGTACACACAAGATCAGAGGACAAGATCATGCAGTACAATAGATTATAGAAACTCTGGTATCAACAAGAGGTAGCAGTAATGTTCAGAGCCTTGCGATTCACAGACAGTGAATTCCACAGGAGATCAGAGGAGCTGCAGCTGAGAGACACCCACGGACACAGTGGAGAGATCTTCAGGTGAGAGTTCACAGGTGAGTATTCCAAATAAGGATGCATTGAGACAACAGCAAAGGGTACTTGAGTATCCAGCCAACGCTGGAGATCTCAATCTGTATAGGATTCTTCCAGCCATTGTCTTCAGGATCTGAGGAGCGAATAACACACACAGGTAAGCGGCACAGGTTGACACGATATCCAGCTAGTAATAATGGGCCCAAGTGTGCCAAACTCAGTACCCTACCACTTACACCACCACAAGCAGCTTAAACAGTTGATTTTCATGATATTAATGCTAAATTCTGGCCCTAGTATCTGAATGTTGCAGCAAAAGCTTCATCGGACAAGACAAAACATTTTTTCCAATCTTCTATTGTAGAATTTTGGGTAGCCAGTGTAAATTGTGGCCTAGTTTCCTGATCTTAGCTGAAAGAAGTGGCACCTGTTTGATGCTTTATCCCATCCACCTCATGGTTTGACGTGTTGTGTGTTCAGAGATGCTCTTCTGCATTCCCTAATTGTAACGGGAGATTATTTGAGTTACTTTTCTATCAGCTCAAACCAGTCTGGCCATTCATTTCTGACCTCTGTCATCCACGTGACATTAGCTCCCACAGAGCTGATATAGAGATGGTTGTGCATGAAAAGTCTCAGTAGATCAGCAGTTCCTGAAATGCCAGGTTCACAGTCACTTGAATCACCGTTCTTACCCATTCTGATGCTCTGGTTAAACTACAGTACACCATCTTGACCATGTCTACATGCCTAAATGCATTGAGTTGCTACCATGTAACTCAGGAGTATCAGCCCAAACCTAATGAAGTACCTAATAAAGTGGCTGGTGAATGTAGCTCTAGTTAGTGGAGCAATCAAAAGGAAATTTACAAAGATAAGCTCCTCACCATCCATTTTCCTGTCTCTCATGGCATAGCCACTTGTAACACGCACCGTAGAATGCAGTTTTAACCCAATAGGCCCCCGAAAGTTCTCTAACTCAGCCCCAATCCCTTCAACTATGCCTAGCCCTTAGCCTTTGAAACCGGGTTGAAACAGGGATAAAAATACACCTCTATGAATCCGTAAATTCCCTCAAATGCATAACTCCTGATTCACGCGGGTGCCATTTTAAGGATTCAAAGAAACCCAGAAATAGTATGAAGAAAAATGTTTTGTAGTCAGAGTCATTATCTGACCAATAAAAGTATTTATCATGACTTTCTCTACTGGTGATGTAGCCTTCATTAAAACAGCCCAATTTCAAGATAAATAATTACATATCTTAGCAGTATAGTTCCAGGTTTGTTATTAATGTCATGGATGTTTATCTCTACTTCCTGGTTTCTTTCCATGGGAGCCTCTCATGGACTGTATGAAATTGTGTAACATTACTGTGTAACATAATCTTATTAGGCTAACAATGGCACATTTTTTTCCTGTAAAACTAGCAATTTTTTGTGAGATTTAAATTACTTTTGCATAACTTTTATAAATTACTTTTTTAGTTCTTTTGGTCACATTGTCTCTATTCACCTAAGGGCTAAGGAGTAGAAATGGAATGCAGCCTAAGCACAGCTATCATTGAATCCAATCAGAACAAGTGAAAAATTATCAATGTTTCCATATTAATGTTATTTTTTTTTCTATTCAAAAATGGACTATTAGAGTAACTTCATGTTGCCAACTACAAATTGCCAACATTTAAATTTCAGCTCATTTTACATCACAAGGCATGTTTTAAATTGTGAAAAGTACCTTTCCAAAGAGACACGCAACATTTTATCTTTGTACCCTTCTGAATCTGAAGAAGTTATTCATTCGTTCATTCATTTTCCAACCCGCTCACTCCCTTTTGGGGTCACAGAGGTCTGCTGGTGCACATTGGGTGAGAGGCAGGGGTACATCCTGGACAGGTCGCCAGTTCATCGCAGGGCAACATTCACTTACACATTTACACATAAAGGGAATTTAGATTATTCAATTAGCTTAACTGCATGTTTTTGTGGGGGGATTGTGGGGGAAACCGGAGTACCCAGAGGAAACCCATGCAAGCACAGGGAGAACATGCAAACTCCATCCAGGAAGGTCGACCCTCGAACCCTCTAACTAGAAGGCCACAGTGCTACCCACTGCGCCACCATATAATCACCAATGTTTTTCATACATTGAATCTAACATTAATATGATTACATTTAACACACAAAGTCCCATGAGGTTATTTAAACTTGAATGAGTATAACAATCAAAGACCTACAAAAGCAGATGTTGGCACACCTGTTCGTGCAAGAACAGACGCATTGTTACCATGCCACACCAATCTGTGCTGTGATAATATTCTGAGACAAAACCAGTTTTATCAGGGCTAGGTTTATTTTCCTGTCTCCAGTGTAACGGTTGCAGGTGCATGTTTGCGTCTAAGTTCAACGGTTCTAACTCAAAACTTGTCGAGCCAGTTGGTGTTCTATACCACTTCTGATATCCCATTGAGTCTGGCTTCAACAAAGCATGAGTAAACATGTCCTGTGAATGGAAACATTCCTTCCTTTTAAGTCACAGTATTCTCTGTTAATCATTTCAAAGACATACCCTTTTCCAGAATTAACCACAAGAAAGCCAGACCTTGTTTTGTTTGTAAAAAGTGAACCAGACTTTTTGTTTGTTGATGCAACGTTTCAGAATCAGACGCAGTATTTCAAGTGATGTAACAGTTTTATTTTTATCACAATTGCAATTTTTGTTAAATTCTTTTTTTTTTGTACATTTACATTCAGTATGCATCAAACAACCAAAAATGATCTACGTGAACAAAATAAACTTTAAAAGACAACTAATGAAGTGAAAACCAAAAGCTGGAAAGCAAACAGACTTTGTGCAGGTATCGAGGGTGCAGTGTGTTCTGTTTCTATGGATCTGCCTCTGGGAGAGGCTGGTGATTTCATGCATCACTGATATCTCGCTGTCTGGCTGACCATAAAAGTGACATAATTTAAAACCACATTTGATAAGTTTACACTAAAAGGTAATTGATAATACACGTCATGAAATACAATCAACATGGTCTGTCATTAAGTGTAATTTGTTGTGTGTTTATGGCAGTGCGTATTGCTGTGGCCCCCTTTCTTACCATGCAACACCCCCTTAAATAGAAAAAAAACATTTCTCCCACCACTAAAAAAAAGACCAGCTTTCAATCAGTGTAGAGATTTGGCCAGAAATGTAATATCCTGACATTTATATGTTCAACAGCTTGTTGTGCAGGAAGTGTTGTAACCACAGTGATTTAACAGCACAACAGCATTTCACAGCACCACCTTGATGCCTGGTCATACTTTAATTGAATTTAAGGGGAACATTTAAAGCCCCAATCACCATACCAGTCGAATGTGACCCAATTCCAATTTTTTTGCTCATCTGTGATCTCATCTGTGGTAGTGTAAACCAGAAAGAAGAGCATGCATTCAGAGATTAGAATCAAGCCTCATTCATATGTGGAAATAAATCAGATCTATGCCAAATGACTCATGTAAACAGGTAAATCAGATTTTCTGATGCATCGCAAACTCAACATCAATTAATTGAGATGATTTGTACGAAGTTCCCAGCAGTTAATGACGTCACCTGTGAAGTGCATGTGAAAGCACGACAGCTTAAAATAAAGTGTGTCCCACGGAGTGAAGCCAAACCGCGCCCCCATGGTGCTGGCTGCAGAATGATTTTTGGCCGATGCAAGTTTATGGAAAAAAAGCAGAACTTTAAAACTTTTGGTTTAAGTTTATTTTTATGTGGTTCCTGGTGGCTCAATTTTTGAGAAACTTTGTTTGACAGTTATGATTGACAGCTACACAGAACAGAGTGGACTTTCCACTGTTATCACGTCGTGAGAAAACCCATTTACACTGCCAAAGTGCAAAGTTGTTTTCAAATTCTTGTTTCTAACTACAAAATGAGTTGTATATAACAGACTGCATGTGAGAGGGGCACGTGTGAGCTAGACACGAGGCGGAGCCCGAAACCATGACGGTTCTATCCTTATCAGGAAGTCGCATGTGAACATCGGAATAAAGCCTTGAATATAAGCTCAATGGCAGTAGGCAGTGTCACGCTGTCCATTTTCTTTTTTTTTTTTTTTTTTTTACAGTCTATGCTTCAAATCACAACAAACAGTTGAACACAGGGAGTAAATGCACCTTTTCTTCTTCTCCACCTCAAAATCAAGAGATTACATAATGTTAACAAATTTTGCTCAGAGTGAAGAGCTAACATTAGCATATTTCACGTGGATCCATCTTTTCCACATTACACTACTACAACATCCCAGTGGCCTTGTGTTGGTATGGCAAGTGTAAACATATATGAAAAAAAAATCGATATAGGCATCTAATCAGAACTGAGCATCAAGGCCTGCAGTGTAAACTAGGCAAATGTGACGATCTATAGACATTCCAGTTTTGTGTGGACTGGTATGTACAAATATTTTGATTGCCAAAGCTGTTAGCTAGCTAGGCTTTCTGTTGCTAATTCTATCAATCAATCAGAGCTGTACGTTTGTGAAAGTAAAAAACAGTCAGAGGATGAATGAAACAGAACAAAATAATATACCAAATACCATTTTATTCTAA